AAATGGCAAAAATTACGGGGGAAAATGGGGAAAATTATGGGGGAAATTGTGGGAGAAATGGGGAGAAAATTATGGGGGAAATAAGGGGGAAATAGGGGAAAAATGGGCAAAATTATGGGGGAAAAGTGGGAAAAAAATGGGGGAAATTTGGGGGAAATTATGGGGGAAAATTATGGGGAAAATGTGGAAAATTATGGGGGAAATGGGGAAAATTACGAGGGGAAAATGGAGAAAAATTGGGAAATTATGGGGGAAAATTAGGGGGGAAATTATGGGGGAAATGAGGGGAGAAAATGGGGAAGAAATGGGGGGAAATGGAGAAAATTATGGGAAATAAAGAGGGAAAATTATGGGGGGAAAATGGGGAAAACAATAGGAAAAACACCAGAAAAAGAAGGAAAAACTGCAGGACAAAAGGGAAAAACTGCAGGAAAAACAACTGGAAAAGGGGAAAACAATCGGAAAAACAACTGGAAAAGGGGAAAACAATCGGAAAAAGAGCTGGAAAAACAACTGGAAAAGGGGAAAACAATCGGAAAAAGCTGGAAAAACAACTGGAAAAGGGAAAAACAATCGGAAAAACAACTGGAAAAGAGGAAAACGATCGGAAAAAGAGCTGGAAAAGGGGAAAACAATCGGAAAAACAACTGGAAAAACAACTAGAAAAGGGGGAAACAATCGGAAAAAGAGCTGGAAAAGGGGAAAACAATCGGAAAAACAACTGGAAAAGAGGAAAACGATCGGAAAAAGAGCTGGAAAAGGGGAAAACAATCGGAAAAACAACTGGAAAATGGGAAAACAATGGGAAAAACAACTGGAAACAGGGAAAACAATGGGAAAAACCACAAGAAAATGGGAAAACCATGATGAAAAACCACAAGAAAATGGGAAAAAAACACCAGGAAAAGGAGAAAAAAAAGGAAAAACACCAGAAAAAGAAGGAAAAACAATGGGAAAAAAAGGAAAAACTCCGGGAAAAGGAGGAAAAACTCCAGGAAAAAAGGGGTTTGGTCCCAGAATTCCCAAATTTCCTGGAATTCTGGAACGTTCCGCCCACCTCGGCGATGATCTTCTCGAGCTCGCGGTTCTCCTTCTCCAGCAGCCGCGACTTCTCCTCCTCGTTGTTGTTGGTGGAGGATCCCGTCTTCATCGTGTCCTGCTGCTCCGACTGCCACTCGCCGCGCGTGATCAGGCGCCGCATCTGCACCAAAACTCAGAAATTTTCATCAATTCCATCAATTCCAAACAATTAAAAAAAAATTTCCAAAAAAATTAAAAAAAAACCGAAAAAAATTGCGAAAAAAATCCAAAAAAATACCAAAAAACCCACAAAAATGGCCCCAAAATTCCAAAGAAGTTGGACAAAAAGCCCCAAAAATTCCGCAAAAAAAATTCCCCCCAAAAATAAAAAAACCCCTAAAAATTGCAAAAAAGAAAAAAAAAAAATCGAAAAAAGAAAAAAAATTTAAAAAAAACCAAAAATGCCCCCAAAATTCCAAAGAAGTTGAACAAAAAGCCCCAAAAATTTCCACCAAAAATCCCCCCAAAATTCCACCAGAAATTCCCCAATTTCCAAAAAATTTCCAAAAAAACCCCCCAAAAAATGCAAAAAAATTCCAAAAAAATACAAAAAAACCCCCAAAAGACCCCAAATTTTGTCCCCAAAATTCCAAAGAAGTTGGAAAAAAAAGCCCCAAAATTTCCCAAAAAAACCCCCCAAAAAATGCAAAAAAATTCCAAAAAAATACAAAAAAACCCCCAAAAGACCCCAAATTTTGTCCCCAAAATTCCAAAGAAGTTGGAAAAAAAAGCCCCAAAATTTCCCAAAAAAAACCCCCCAAAAAATTGCAAAAAAATACAAAAAAATACAAAAAAATACAAAAAAATACAAAAAAAACCCAAAAAATGGCCCCAAAATTCCAAAGAAGTTGAAAAAAATCCCCAAAAAATTCCACAAAAAATTACCCCCAAAATTCCCCCAAAAACCCCCCAAAAATTGCAAAAAGTTAAAAAAAAACCCCAAAAACCAAAAAATGGCCTCCAAATTCCAAAGAAGTTGAAAAAAAGCCCCAAAATTTTCTCCAAAAATTTCCTCAAAAATTTAAAACAAAATTCACAAAAATTAAAAAAAAAGTCTCAATTTTTTCTCCAATTCCCTCCCCGCGCGTGATCAGGCGCCGCATTTGCACCCAAAATTCAGAAATTTTCATCAATTCCAAACAATTCCCAAAAAATTTCCAAAAATAAACTCTAATTTTTCCCCAATTTTTCCTCAATTTTTTTCCCAATTTTTCCCATTTTCTCCCCAATTTTTTTCTAAATTTTCCCCAATTTTTTTCCCATTTTTCCCCCAATTTTGGGCCCACCTTGGGCACGAAGAGCACGACCAGGGTGATGTAGGAGGAGAAGACGACGGCGAGGGAGGCGAAGGCGAAGGCGGCGTCCTGCTGCGAGCTCAGGATCAGCGTCACCGGCGCCGTGATCAGGCACAACACCTAAAACATTCAAATTATTTTTAATTTTTGGGATTTTTGGGAATTTTTGGGGATTTTTTTCATGAATTTTGGGACATTTTGGGGTGGTTTTGGGGGGTTTTTCCTGACTTTTTGGGCATTTTTTTCAGAATATTTTGAATTTTTTGGGCATTTTTTGTTGAATATTTTGAATTTTTTGGAGATTATTTTGAATTTTTTTGGGGATTTTTGGGGGATTTTTTGGAGAATTTTTCTGGAAACTTTTTGAGATTTTTTAAAAATTATTTTGATTTTTTTTTTCCAATTTTTTTTATTTTTTTCCCAATTTTTTCAGAATTTTTTTTCCTATATCTCCCACATCTCATTTTATAATTTTTTTTAATATTTTTCTTTAATTTTTTTAATTTTTTCTGGAATTTTCTGGACGTTACCGCCACGTTGTAGATGGCCATGCCCACGGCCCGGTGGTCGTTGATTTTCTCCGTGGAGACGCTTTTGGTCTCGTAGGCCAAAAAAATCCCCAAGAGCAGCAGCAGCCCCTTAAAGCCGTAAAAAATCCCTGGAAAAAATCCCGAAAAAGGAAAAAAAAAAAAGTTAACATTAATTAATTATTTAAAATTTAATTTTTAAAATGTTTTTAATTAAGTAGAATTTTTTTTTAATTTAATTTCATTTAATTTGAGATAAAATCCTTCCAATTTCCACCTGAAAAACCCAAATTTACACCAGAAATCCCCCGAATTTCCACCTGAAATTCTCCCAAATTTTCCCTAAAAAAACCCAGAATTGCACCTGAAAATCCCAAAAATTACACCTAAAATCCCCCAAAATTCCACCTGAAAAACCCCAAAATTCCACCTGAAAAACCCCAAAATTCCACATAAATCCCCCAAAATTCCCACCTGAAAAACCCCAAAATTCCACCTGAAAAACCCCAAAATTCCACCCAAAATCCGCCAAATTTCCACCTGAAAAACCCCAAAACTCCAACTAAAATCCCCCAAATTTCCATCTAAAAATCCCAAAAAAATCGACCTAAAAACCCTCAAATTTACACCTGAAAATACCAAAAATTCCACCTAAAATCCCCAAATTTCCACCTGAAAATCCCCCAGATTTGCCCAAAAAATCCCAAAAATTCCACCTGAAATCCCCAAATTTGTCCTGAAAATCCCAAATTTCCACCTGAAAACCCCAAATTTTTAGGATCCGCCAAAATCCCACCTCGAATTCCCAAAAATTTCCCAAAATTCCACCTGAAAATCCCAAAATTTGCCAAAAAAATCCCAAAATTTCCACCTAAAATCCCCCAAAATTCCACCTGAAAAACCCCAAAATTCCACCTGAAAAACCCCAAAATTCCACATAAATCCCCCAAAATTCCACCTGAAAAACCCCAAAATTCCATCCAAAATCCGCCAAATTTCCACCTGAAAAACCCCAAAACTCCAACTAAAATCCCCCAAATTTCCATCTAAAAATCCCAAAAAAATCGACCTAAAAACCCTCAAATTTACACCTGAAAATCCCCAAAAATTCCACCTAAAATCCCCAAAATTCCACCTGAAAAACCCCAAAACTCCAACTAAAATCCCCCAAATTTCCATCTAAAAATCCCAAAAAAATCGACCTAAAAACCCTCAAATTTACACCTGAAAATCCCCAAAAATTCCACCTAAAATCCCCAAAATTCCACCTGAAAATCCCCCAGATTTGCCCAAAAAATCCCAAAAATTCCACCTAAAATCCCCAAATTTGTCCTGAAAATCCCAAATTTCCACCTGAAAACCCCAAATTTTTAGGATCCGCCAAAATCCCACCTCGAATTCCCAAAAATTTCCCAAAATTCCACCTGAAAATCCCAAATTTCCCCCTAAAATCCCCCAAAATTCCCCCTGAAAATCCCAAATTTCCACCTGAAAACCCCAAATTTTTAGGATCCGCCAAAATCCCACCTCGAATTCCCAAAAATTTCCCAAAATTCCACCTGAAAATCCCAAAATTTGCCAAAAAAATCCCAAAATTTCCACCTAAAATCCCCCAAAATTCCACCTGAAATCCCCAAAATTTCCCTGAAATTTCCCAATATTTCACCTGAAAATCCCAAAAATTCCACCTAAAATCCCGCAAATTTCAACCTAAAAATCCCAAATTTCCACCTAAAATTCCACCTGAAAATCCCAAAATTCCACCTGAAAAATCCCTCAAATTTTTAGGATCCCCCAAAATCCCACCACAAATTCCCAAAAACTTCCCTGAAATTTCCCAAAATACCGAAATTTCCACCTGAAGATACCAAAAATTCCACCTAAAATCCCCCAGAATTCCCCCTAAAAATCCAAATTTCCACCTAAAACCCCCAAATTTGCCCAAAATCCCCAAATTTCCATTGAAAATCCCCAAATTTGCCCAAATTCCCCAAATTTCCAGCAGGATTCCCAATTCCGGGCCCCTCACCGAGCCAGGTGTTCATCTTGGTGGAGCTGCAGTGCTCGAGCTGGGGCAGGATGGACACGTCCATGTCCGACTTGGGCTCCTCCTTGGTGAATTCCTGGGGGAAAACGCCCGGATTTGGCGATTTCGGGACTTTTTTGGGGTTTTTTGGGGTGGAGGGAGTCGGAAGAACCTTCCAGAACCCCAAAACACCTGAAGAACCTTCCAGAACTCCCCCAAACACCTTGAGAAACCCTCAAACACCTCAAGAACCTTCCAGAACCTCCTCAAACCCCTGGAGAACCTTCCAGAACCCCCTGAAACACCTCAGGGAAGCCTCAAACACCTCAAGAACCTTCCAGAACCCCCTCAAACACCTGGAGAACCTTCCAGAACCCCCTCAAACACCTGGAGAACCTTCCAGAACCCACAAAAACACCTCAAGAACGCCCTGAAACACCTCAAGAACCTTCCAGAACCTCCTCAAACCCCTGGAGAACCTTCCAGAACCCCCTGAAACACCTCGAGGAACCCTCAAAAAACCTGGAGAACTTTCCAGAATCCCCCCAAACACCTGGAGAACCTTCCAGAACCTCCCCAAACCCCTCAAGGAACCCTCAAACACCTCAAGAACCTTCCAGAACCTCCCCAAACACCTCAAGAACTTTCCACCACCCCCCAAACACCTGGAGAACCTTCCAGAACTCCCCCAAACACCTGGAGAACCTTCCAGAACCCCCTCAAACACATTGAGGATCCCTCTAACACCTCAAGGAACCTTCCAGAACCCCCCAAAACACCTCAAGAACTCCCTGAAACACCTCAAGGATCCCTTAAATACCTGGAGAACCTTCCAGAACCTCCCCCAAACACCTTGTGGAACCCTCAAACACCTGGAGAACCTTCCAGAACCTCCTCAAACACCTTGAGGAACCCCCAAACACCTGGAGAACCTTCCAGAACCCCTCAAACCCCTGGAGAACGTTCCAGAACCTCCCCAAACACCTCAAGAACTCCCTCAAACCCCCGGAGAACCTTCCAGAACCCCCCCAAACACCTCAAGAACTCCCTCAAACCCCCGGAGAACCTTCCAGAACCGCCCGGAGAAGCCCCCAGACCTCGATGGTGCGGTGCAGCGGGTCCACGATCTGCCACACGCTCAGCGTGACGACGTCGAAGGCCACCAGGCCCCCCACGGTGGCGTAGAGCTTCCAGGGCTCCAGGCTCTGCGGGGAGTTCCGGAATGCCGGCGTCACCCACCGGGAATTCCGGTGTCACCCAACTGGGAATTCCGGTGTCACCCAACTGGGAATTCCGGTGTCACCCAACTGGGAATTCCGGTGTCACCCAACTGGGAATTCCGGTGTCACCCAACTGGGAATTCCGGTGTCACCCAACTGGGAATTCCGGTGTCACCCAACTGGGAATTCCGGTGTCACCCAACTGGGAATTCCGGTGTCACCCAACTGGGAATTTTCTTCATTGGTCACCCAAATCCCAAAGGAACACCTGGATCCCAAAGGAACACCTGGATCCCAAAGGAACACCTGGATCCCAAAGGAACACCTGGATCCCAAAGGAACACCTGGATCCCAAAGGAACACCTGGATCCCAAAGGAACACCTGGATCCCAAAGGAACACCTGGATCCCAAAGGAACACCTGGATCCCAAAGGAACACCTGGATCCCAAGGGAACACCCGGATCCCAAGGGAACACCCGGAACTCGATAGAACACCTGGAACCCAATGGAACCCCCGGATCCCAACAAACCACACCCGGATCCCAAAAGAACACCCGAATCCCAAGAGAACACCCAGATCCCAAAACAACACCCGGATCCCAAAAGGACACCCAGAACTCAATAGAACACCCAGATCCCAACACCCAAATCCCAAAAAAAAACCACACCTGGATCCCAAAACAACACCCAGATCCCAAAACGACACCCGGAAACAGATGGAACCCCAGGATCCCAACACCAAATCCCAACAAACCACACCCGGATCCCAAAAGAACACCCGGATCCCAAGGGGAAAACCCAGATCCCGAAAGAACACCCGGATCCCGATGGAAAACCCGGATCCCGATGGAAAACCCCACCCAAACCAACCCCCAAATCCCAACAACAACAACACCACCCCTCCTGCCCTGCCCCGTCCGCCTGTTTCCCCGGGAATTCCCGGCAGCTCTCGCCTTCCGCTTGTCCTTCTTGTCGTCCTTCTTGGTGAACACGGTGTGCACCCACCAGATCTTGGTGAACATGCTGCCGTAGGCCAGGCTGAAGCCCAGCCCCAACAGCCACAGCCGCGCCTGAAAACAACAGTCGGAAAACGCCGCAACAGTCGGAATCCAGCTGGGAACGGTGATGTCGACTGTTCCTGCTAACACCTGGATCCCAAGGGAACACCCGGATCCCAAGGGAACACCCGGAACTCGATAGAACACCTGGAACCCAATGGAACCCCCGGATCCCAACAAACCACACCCGGATCCCAAAAGAACACCCGAATCCCAAGAGAACACCCAGATCCCAAAACAACACCCGGATCCCAAAAGGACACCCAGAACTCAATAGAACACCCAGATCCCAACACCCAAATCCCAAAAAAAAACCACACCTGGATCCCAAAACAACACCCGGATCCCAAAAGAACACCCAGAACTCAATAGAACACCCGGATCCCAACACCAAAATCCCAAAAAAAACCACACCTGGATCCCAAAACAACACCCAGATCCCAAAACGACACCCGGAAACAGATGGAACCCCAGGATCCCAACACCAAATCCCAACAAACCACACCCGGATCCCAAAAGAACACCCGGATCCCAAGGGGAAAACCCAGATCCCGAAACAACACCCGGATCCCGATGGAAAACCCGGATCCCGATGGAAAACCCCACCCAAACCAACCCCCAAATCCCAACAACAACAACACCACCCCTCCTGCCCTGCCCCGTCCGCCTGTTTCCCCGGGAATTCCCGGCAGCTCTCGCCTTCCGCTTGTCCTTCTTGTCGTCCTTCTTGGTGAACACGGTGTGCACCCACCAGATCTTGGTGAACATGCTGCCGTAGGCCAGGCTGAAGCCCAGCCCCAACAGCCACAGCCGCGCCTGAAAACAACAGTCGGAAAACGCCGCAACAGTCGGAATCCAGCTGGGAACGGTGATGTCGACTGTTCCTGCTCTGGTTGTTGTTGTTTCCTGGTTTTTCCCTTTCCTGGGCTCTGCTCTGGTTGTTCCTCTCATTGTTACCGACTGTTTCTTCCCGTTCCGGTTGTTCCCGACTGTCCCCATTCCAATTAACCCTGTTCCTGGCTGGATTTCTGACAGTTCTAATTGCTTCCGACTGTTTCTTCCCTTCCCATTCTGACTGTTCTTCCTCCAATTGTTCCTGACTGCTTCTTCCCTTTCCTTCCCATTCCGACTGTTCCTCCTCCAATTGTTCCCAATTATGTTTTCCCTCTTCTTCCCGACTTTTCTTCCTTGGATTCTTTCTGACTGTTCCTCCTCCAGTTGTTTCCAACTGTTCCTATTCCAGTTATCCCAGTTCCTGGCTGCATTTCCGACTGTTCCCGACTGTTTCTCCCCTGTTCTTCCTATCCCCGGCTGTCTCCGATTGTTCCTCCTATGATTGTTCCCGATTATTTCTTCCTTTCCCATCCCGACTGTTCCTCCCCTTTCTGCCTGTTCCCACCTTATTTTCCTGTTTCTCCACTTGCTCCTGTTCCATTTTATCTCCTCTCCGCCTGTTCCCATCCCATTTCCCTCCTCTCCACCTGTTCCTCCGCCTGTTCCCATCCCATTTCCCTCCTCTCTCTGCCTGTTCCCATCCCATTTTCCTGTTCCTCTGCCTGTTCCTCCACCTGTTCCCATCCCATTTTCTCCCTTTCCGCCTGTTTCTCTGCCTGTTCCCACCCCATTTCCCCCCTTCTCCGCCTGTTCCCACCCCATTTCCCCGCTCCTCCGCCTGTTCCCAGCCCATTTTCCCACTTCTCCGTCTGTTCCTCCGCCTGTTCCCATCTCATTTCCCCTCCTCTCCGCCTGTTCCCACCCCATTTCCCCATTGCTCTGCCTGTTCCTCCGCCTGTTTTTCCACCTGTTCCCAGCCCATTTTCTCCCCTTTCCGCCTGTTCCCAGCCCATTTTCTCCCCCTTCCGCCTGTTCCCAGCCCATTTCCCTGTTCCTCCGCCTGTTCTCACCCCATTTCCTCCCTTCTCTGCCTGTTCCTCTGCCTGTTCCCAGCCCATTTCCCCACTCCTCCGCCTGTCCCTCCGCCTGTTCCCACCCCATTTTCCTGTTCCTCCACCTGTTCCCATCCCATTTTCCCACCCCATTTTCCTGTTCCTCCGCCTGTTCCCATCCCATTTCCCCACCCCATTTCCCTCCTCTCCGCCTGTTCCCATCCCATTTTCTCACCCCATTTTCCTGTTCCTCCGCCTGTTCCTCCGCCTGTTCCCTCCCCATTTCCCCACTCCTCCGCCTGTTCCTCCGCCTGTTCCCACCCCATTTCCTCCCTTCTCTGCCTGTTCCTCTGCCTGTTCCCAGCCCATTTCCCCACTCCTCCGCCTGTCCCTCCGCCTGTTCCCACCCCATTTTCCTGTTCCTCCACCTGTTCCCATCCCATTTTCCCACCCCATTTCCCCACTCCTCCGCCTGTTCCTCCGCCTGTTCCCACCCCATTTCCCCGCTCCTCCGCCTGTCCCTCCGCCTGTCCCTCCGCCTGTTGCCGTCCGCACCTGGCAGACGAAGGGGAACAGCCCCGGCCCGATGTGGTACCCGTCGAGGCCCAGCGGGAAGACGGCGGCGAGCGCCAGGGTACAACCCACGGCCGTCATGTTGTTCAGGTAGGGCTGCGAATTCTGGATGTACCTGCAACACCCGCACGCGGCAACACCCGCACGCGCCCGGGGCGCCCCGACAACAGCGTCACTCTCAGGGTGGGCAAGGGTGGCTTTTCCCCCAGTTTTCCCTGGATTTTCTGCCCATTTTCCCCAATTTTTTCCCCAATTTTTCCCCAATTTTTCCCCAATTTTCCCCCATTTTTCCCAGAAATTTTCCTGATTTTTTCCAGAATTTTCCCCCATTTTTCCCAGATTTTTTCCTGATTTTTTCCAGAATTTTTTCCCATTTTTTCCCCGAATTTTCCCCATTTTCCCCAGATTTTTCCCAATTTTTCCCAGAATTTTTCCCATTTTTCCCTGAATTTTTTGCCCATTTTCCCCCAATTTTTTTCCCCCAATTTTTCCCCAATTTCCCCCCAATTTTCCCCATTTTTCCCCATTTTCCCAGAATTTTTCCTGATTTTTCCCAGAATTTTCCCCAATTTTCCCTGAATTTCCCCCATTTTCCCAGAATTTTTCCCAATTTTTCCCTGAATTTTCCCCCAATTTTCCCCAATTTTTCCCCCAAATTTCCAGATTTTTTTTCCCATTTTTCCCAGAATTGTTCCTGATTTTTTCCCAGAATTTTCCCCCAAATTTCACTAATTTTTTTCCCAGAATTTTTCCCACTTTTTTGCCATTTTCCCCCAATTTCCCCTAAATTTTTCCCAATTTTCCCCCAATTTTTTCCCAGAATTTTTCCCCCAATTTTTCCTGAATTTCCTCCCATGTTTCCCATAATTTTTCCCATTTTCCCCCAGAATTTTTCCCCATTTTCCCCTGAATTTTTCCCCCCATTTTTCTCCATTTCCTCCCCACTTTTCCCACTTTTCCCCCCATTTTTCCCTGAATTTTTCCCCATTTTTCCCAAGTTTTCCCCATTTTTTTCCTATTTTTCAATTTTTTCACTTCAACCCCTTAAAATCCAATTTTTTTCCAATTTAACCCCCCAAATCTCCAATTTTTTCACTTTAACCCCCTAAAAATCACTATTTTCCCCCCTCCAACCCTTAAAAAACCCCAATTTTTTTCCCCTCCCGACCTCCAAAACCCCCGGAATTTTGGGGAATTTTGGGAATTTTGGGGAATTTGGGGAATTTGGGATTTTCCCACCTGACGTGCCCGTTGTAGATGTTGAAGGCCAGACAAACGACGGCCAGGACGATGCCCAGCGACGCCAGCACCGCCACGGAAATGAACAATTTTTGGGACAGGAAGCGGAAAGTCGTGATCACCTTGGTGTAGTCGGCCGGGGGGGACCCCCCTGGGGACAAAATTGGGACAAATCCCAAAAAAAATCAGGAATTTGGGAACATCCAGAAAGATTTTCCATCATTTTCAGCATTTTTCTCCTTTTTTTCCTACTTTTTTTCCCCATTTTTTGCTCACTTTTTCCCATTTTTTGCTCATTTTTCCCAATTTTTAGCTCATTTTTTCCAATTTTTTGCTCATTTTTTCCCCATTTTTTGCCCATTTTCCCCCAATTTTTTGCTCATTTTTCCCCATTTTTTGCTCATTTTTCCCCATTTTTTGCTCATTTTTCCCCAATTTTTTGCTCATTTTTTCCCATTTTTTGCCCATTTTCCCCCCATTTTTTCCTGATTTTTCCCACAATTTCCCCCCCATTTTCCCCCAATTTCTCATTTTCCCCCAATTTTTCCCAATTTTTTCCCCATTTCTGTCTCATTTTCCCCCATTTTTTACCAATTTTTTCACATTTTTCCCCATTTCCCCCCAATTTTCCCCCATTTAATCCCCAATTTCCCCCGATTTCCCCGTTTTTCCCGATTTCCCCGTGTTTCGCCCCGTTTCTCACCGATCCATCTGTCGTTGTTGTACCAGGACAGGTTGTCCTTGGTGCTGTCGTAGTAACCGATCTTCTGGTACTCCCCGCCTGCAGGGGACAACGGCACAGGTGACACCGGACACGTGACAGGTGACACCCGGACAGGTGACACCGGGACAGGTGACAAGGGACAGGTGACAGGTGACACCGGGACAGCCTTGGGGACACCAAGACAGGTGACAACGGCACAGGTGACACCTTGGGGACACCAGGACAGGTGACACCAGGGCAGGTGACACCTTGGGGACACCAGGACAGGTGACACCGGGACAGGTGACAATGGACAGATGACACCTTGGGGACACTGGGACAGGTGACACCAGGACACGTGACACTTGTACAGGTGACAATGGACAGGTGACACCTTGGGGACACCGGGACAGGTGACACCCGGACAGGTGACACCTTGGGGACACCGGGACAGGTGACAATGGACAGGTGACACCTTGGGGACATTGGGATAGATGACACTGGGACAGGTGACAATGGGACAGGTGACACCTTGGGGATACCTTGGGGACACCTTGGGGACACCAGGGCAGGTGACACCTTGGGGACACCCGGACAGGTGACACCTTAGGGACACTGGGACAGGTGACACCAGGACAGATGACACTTGTACAGGTGACAATGGACAGGTGACACCTTGGGGACACTGGGACAGGTGACAAGGGACAGGTGACACCTTGGGGACACTGGGACAGGTGACAATGGACAGGTGACACCTTGGGGACACTGGGATAGATGACACTGGGACAGGGGACAATGGGACAGGTGACACCTTGGGGATACCTTGGGGACACCTTGGGGACACCAGGGCAGGTGACACCTTGGGGACACCCGGACAGGTGACACCTTAGGGACACTGGGACAGGTGACACCAGGACAGATGACACTTGTACAGGTGACAATGGACAGGTGACACCTTGGGGACACTGGGACAGGTGACAAGGGACAGGTGACACCTTGGGGACACTGGGACAGGTGACAATGGACAGGTGACACCTTGGGGACACCGGGACAGGTGACAATGGACAGGTGACACCTTGGGGACACCGGGACAGGTGACACCCGGACAGGTGACACCCAGACAGGTGACACCTTGGGAACACCGGGACAGGTGACAATGGAACCGGTCACAATGGACAGGTGACACTTTGGGGACACCGGGAATGGTGACACCAGCACAGGTGATGGGACAGGTGACACTTTGGGTACCCCAGGACAGGTGACACCAGGAGAGGTGACACCTTAGGGACACCAGGACAGGCAACAAGGGACAGGTGACACTTTGGGGACCCCTGGACAGGTGACACCCCCGCTGTCCCCGCTGTCCCCTCACCTTGGAGCTGCTCGATGAGGGTCCAGGCCATGCGGGAGCCGCTGGCGTCGAACACCACGTGGCCCTGGAGGGGACACGGGGACGGCGTTGGGGACACGCGGGTGACATCCCCAGGGCCACCTCCACCCAAGGATGAATTTTGGTGGCACTTTTGATGTCACCTCCACCCAAATCTTCATTTTGGGGCCACATTTTGGTGCCATCTCCACCGACCCCAGGACAGGTGACACCCCCGCTGTCCCCTCACCTTGGAGCTGCTCGATGAGGGTCCAGGCCATGCGGGAGCCGCTGGCGTCGAACACCACGTGGCCCTGGAGGGGACACGGGGACGGCGTTGGGGACACGCGGGTGACATCCCCAGGGCCACCTCCACCCAAGGATGAATTTTGGTGGCACTTTTGATGTCACCTCCACCCAAATCTGATTTTGGAACCCCCCTTGATGTCACCTCCACCCAAAGGTGACTTTTGGGACCCCCCTTGATGTCACCTCCACCCAAAGATGAATTTTGGTGACACATTTTTGAGGAACCTCCACCCAAAATGAAGATCTGGTGTCACCTCCACCCAAATCTGACTTCTGGAACCCTCCTTGATGTCACCTCCACCCAAGGATGAATTTTGGTGACACTTTTGATGTCACCTCCACCCAAATCTGACTTTTGGTGACACTTTTGATGTCACCTCCACCCAAATCTTCATTTTGGGGCCACATTTTGGTGCCATCTCCACCCAAAGGTGAATTTTTGTGAATTCTTTTGAGGAACCTCCACCCAAAATGAAGATTTGGTGTCACCTCCACCCAAATCTGAGTTCTGGAACCCTCCTTGATGTCACCTCAACCCAAAGATGAATTTTGGGGCCACATTTGTGAGGAACCTCCACCCAAAATGAAAATTTGGTGTCACCTCCACCCAAAGGTGACTTTTGGGACCCCCCTTGATGTCACCTCCACCCAAAGGTGACTTTTGGGACCCCCCTTGATGTCACCTCCACCCAAAGGTGACTTTTGGGACCCCCCTTGATGTCACCTCCACCCAAAGATGAATTTTGGTGACACATTTTTGAGGAACCTCCACCCAAAATGAAGATCTGGTGTCACCTCCACCCAAATCTGACTTCTGGAACCCTCCTTGATGTCACCTCCACCCAAGGATGAATTTTGGTGACACTTTTGATGTCACCTCCACCCAAATCTTCATTTTGGGCCCACATTTTGGTGCCATCTCCACCCAAAGGTGAATGGCCGGATCCCGGCGGCCCCGGCGACGCACCGAGACGCCCTCGAAGGCCGAGGAGTTGAGGGCGCGGTAGATCTCGTCCGTGATGGTCTTGTTGTTGTAGTTGAACTCGTCCAGCCCCACGCCTTGCTTGGCCAACTCTTGGGCCGTCTTGTTGAGCGCCAAGGCCAAGGCCCAGATGGCGTCGTAGGCCAGCGGCGCCTCCTGGTAGCCGCCGGTCTCCTTCGGGTTGCTGCCCAGCCTCTTCTCCAGCTTGTCGATGAACTCCTGCGACGTCTGGTGGACAACGCCCAACGGTTGGGTTGGAGACCACCCAAGGTTGACCCAACAGTTGGGTTGGAGACCGCCCAAAGTTGACCCAATGGTTGGGTTGTAGACCACTCAACGTTCACCCAAAGTTGACCCAACGGTTGGGTTGGAGAGCACCCAAAGTTCACCCAACATTTGCATTGGAGACCACCCAAAGTTGACCCAGTGGTTGGGTTGGAGAGCACCCAAAATTGACCCAACATTTGCATTTGAGACCACCCAAGGTTGACCCAAAGTTGACCCAAGGTTTGGGTTAGAGACCACACAAGGTTGACCCAAGGTTTGGGTTGGAGACCACCCAAGGTTGACCCAACGGTTGGGTTGGAGACCATGCAAGGTTGACCCAAGGTTTGGGTTGGAGACCACCCAAGGTTGACCCAACGGTTGGGTTGGAGACCACCCAAAATTGACCCAATGACTGGTTTGGAGACCAGCCAAAGTTGACCCAATGGTTGGGTTGGAGAGCACCCAAGGTTGAACCGAGGATTGCGTTGGAGACCACTCAACGTTCACCCAAAGTTGACCCAACGGTTGGTCTGGAGACCACCCAAAGTTGACCCAACTGCTGGGTCAAGGTTGACCCAAGGTTTGGGTTGGAGACCACCCAAAGTTGACCCAATGGTTGGGTTGGAGAGCACCCAAGGTTGAACCGAGGATTGCGTTGGAGACCACTCAACGTTCACCCAAAGTTGACCCAACGGTTGGGCTGGAGACCACCCAAAGTTGACCCAACGGCTGGGTTGGAGATCATCTAAGATTGACCCAATGGTCGGGTTGGAGACCACCCAAAGTTGACCCTGTTGTTGGGTTGGAGACCACCCAAAGTTGACCCAAGGTTTGGGTTGGAGACCAGCCAAAGTTGACCCAACGGTTGGGTTGTAGACCACTCAATGTTCACCCAAAGTTGACCCAACGGTTGGGTTGGAGACCACCCAAAGTTGACCCAAGGTTTGGGTTGGAGACCAGCCAAAGTTGACCCAACGGTTGGGTTGTAGACCACTCAATGTTCACCCAAAGTTGACCCAACGGTTGGGTTGGAGACCACCCAAAATTGACCCAACATTTGCATTGGAGACCACCCAAGGTTGACCCAAAGTTGACCCAATGGTTGGGTTGGAGACCACCCAAGGTTGAACCGAGGATTGGGTTGGAGACCACTCAAAGTTGACCCAACGGTTGGTCAACACTCAACATTGACTCAATGTTGACCCAAGGGTTGGGTGGGCTGAGCGCTCCCAGTGCTCCCAGTACCATGTTGGAGATGCTGCGCGTGTTCTCGGGGTTGAGCATGACGATCTCGGTGGTGATGTGACCCTCGACGGCCTCGGCCATCTCGGCCTCGGTGCAGTTGATGGAAGGGTCCGGCGTGCGGAACCATTTGTTGGCGTACCAGCCAATCAGGAACCAGACGTACTTCTTGCCGTAGAGCTTCTCCTTGTAGACCTGGAAGGGTGGGGAGATCTTCCGTGATCGTCGTTTCCATCATCGGAATCCATCACCGATCCATCATCATCATCCGTCGTTGGAATCCATCATCCATCTCCATCATCCATGATCCATTGATTTCCACCATTGATCATCCATCATCATCATCATCATCATCATCATCATCATCATCATCATCATCATCATCATCCATCGCCATCCATGATCCGTCATCGATCCATCACCATTGATCCATCATCATCATCATCATCATC